TTATGCACCCCTATGTTTACTGTAGCATCATTTACAATAGCCAAGATATGGAAACAACCTAAGAGTACATCAGTAGATGAATGGATAAAGAAGATGTGGTACATATACACAACAGAATATTACTACGCCATAAAAAGGAATGAAAGTTTGCTATTTGTGACAACATGAACAGACCTAGAGGGTATTACGCTAGATGAAATAAGTCAGAGAAATACAAATACCACATGACTTCACTTATATGTGGAATCTAAAAAACAAATGAACAAACAAAACAGAAACAAACTCATCCATACAGAGAACAAACTGATGGTCACCAGATGGGAGAGGGGTGGTGCAATGGTCGAAATAGGTAAAGGGAATAAGAGGTACCAACTTCCAGTTATAAAATAAATATGTCATGGGGATGTAAGGCACAGCATAGGGATAGAGTCACTAATATTGTAATAACTTCATATGGTGACAGACGGTTACTGGATTTACCGTGGTGATCATTTCATAATGTATATAAATGTCAAACTGCTAGGTTGTACCCCTGAAACTAATATAATATTGTATGTCAATTATACTTCAATTAAAAAAAGAATTCTGAGACTAACCTGCCTCACAATAAAAAATAATAATAATAAAAGAGCACAATTAAAATTGGACAAATCATCTGAATAGACATTTCTCCAAAGAAAATATAAAAATGGCTGAAAAATACACAGGACACTCAGCAATATTAGTCATCAGGGAAAAGCAGATCAACATCACAATGAGATACCACTTGACACCCACTAAGATGGCTAGAATCAAAGTCAGAAAATAACATGTGTTAGCAAAGATGTAGAGATACCGGAACATTCCTAACTGCTGACGGGAATGCAAACTGTGCAGCCAATTTGGAAAACAGTCTGGCAGTTCTCCAACAAGTTAAACATAGTTAGTACTTGCAATTACCTTCCTAGTATACCCAGAAGAAATGAAAATAGATGTCCACAAAAAACTTGTACACAAATGTTCACAGCAGCATTATTCATAACAGTCAAAAGGAGGAAACAACCCACATGTTCATCAAGGATTTCAAATTTATTAGCATAAAGCTCTTCACATACTGGTATTCTCTTAAAGTTTAAAAAGAAAAGTCCCCTGTATCTATAGCTTTATCTTCTTTCTGGCATACAATCTTAGCAATCCAGGGATAGAGGGAAACTCTCCCAGCTGAGATGGGGAAAAACAAAGAGAAATTTACAGCAAATGTGACATTAAGTGGTGAAGATATTAATGGCCCTGCAATTAAAATCAGGAACAATCACACAATGAAATCCTAGCCAATACAATTAGATAAGAAAAGGGAAATCTGCAGAAATCTGTTAGAAAAGAAAGAAGGGTCAAAGCTAATATTATTCATGAATGATACAAACATCCAACTAAAAAACCTAAGAGAATCAACTGAAAAACTGTCAGAAGTAATATGAGAGGTCATTAAGGAGGTCAAATATATAATCACCGTATAATCAATAACTTTCCAATACACAAGCAACAACCAGTTAAGAAGAGAATAAACATAAGAGCAACAAACCAAAAAAACATAAAATATGGATAAATAAAGCTAATAAAAAAATGTACAAGACCTTAATGGGGAAACAGAAAACTGCCAAAAGACAAAACAGATCTGAATAAACCTTAAGTACAAAAAGACTAATATTTTCAAGGCTACTACTTAATACTTCCTAAATTAACATGAAAAGTCTATACAATCCCAACAAAACCCCAATATAACTTTTATTCAGACTTGATAAACATATTCTACAATTCACACAAATGAGTACAAGCCAAAAATAGCCAAGACAATTTTTTAAAGGTGGAAAGATTTGTTCTACAAGACAACATAGCTTATTATAAGAATACAGTAACTAAAACAGTGAGTATTATTGAAGGAATATACAAATAGCAGATAAAGGGAACAGTACGGAATCCTGACATAGACTTATACACATATATAGATCTGGCATATGACAGAGGTAGCATTACAAGACAGTGGGAAAGAACAGATAATTGAGGGACAATTGGCTAGGCAAATTAAAATAAAAGCAAAATCATAAGCAAAATGAATTCCAGTCAAAGACTTAACTTCAAAAACAAAATAGAGAGTAACAACCCCAGGGTAAGACAGCATTTTTTTAAAAAACAAAATGAAAAGAATGATATATGACATCAGTATTTAAAAAGCTCTTCTTAAAAAAAAAGAATAAAACCACTGATAAAAGTGTAAATTTTTACCCACAAGGAAGGTCTGAAAGTCTAGTAGTCTAGAAGTTTAGTTTTAGTAAAACACATTACTTATGCCCTAAGAATTTCATTTCTAGGACTTGCCCCAGGGATTTTTCTTCTGGGGAAAACAGTTGCACAGATATACACACATTTGCACAGACATTCGCACAAGTGATGACTAGAGTACTCTTTGTAATAACAAAATATTAGAAATAATCTACCTGACCATCAATATGGCTAAATAAAAGTGCAGCACTTTATAGGATGAAATACCATACAATAGTTAAAAAGATCGTACTAGACCCTTAAGCGTCGACGTAATTGTTTCACTGTTCACTGGGTGGTCAGACTGTGCAGCCAAGGTTAAAAAGCAGGTAAAGTGTGACCCACAGAAGAGACCAGAGCATGATTCTAAGTTGCTGAGAACAGACCACACACACACCAGACTCAAGGGGTAGAGCACTTACTGATAGCAAGAGAGGTGAGAAAGTACACCAGATTGAACCCCTTGCAGTCCATTGGTCCCCCATAACCAACGGTTCCACTCCACAGCTGATGCGGTGCGGGTGGTATGGAAGCAAGCACCACATTTCATGCTTCCGTAGAAGGACCTCGACCCCTCACCCGTGGGGTCTGAAATACAGAGAGCAGAGGTGGGCCTGAGAGCCCCTGACACATGCACTGAAGCAGAAGAAAGGGGTATTTACATTAAGCACTGAACAAGGAAAGACAGTCCCTCACACAGCAATAAACGCAGCAAAGGCTGTGAGGTGAGGGGCTCTTAATTTTTTCACAAGATGTTCCCAGCTTAAGGCCACTCATGCTGCTATCAAGAGAGAAGCTGGGCTTGACTGCTCTTCCCAACAATAACAAAAACATATGCTAAGTTAAAAAGAACATCATAGGGGTTGGCCCCGTGGCCGAGTGGTTAAGTTCGCGCGCTCTACTGCAGGCGGCCCGGTGTTTCGTTGGTTCGAATCCTGGGCGCGGACATGGCACTGCTCATCAAACCACGCTGAGGCAGCGTCCCACATGCCACAACTAGAAGGACCCACAACGAAGAATATACAACTATGTACTGGGGGGGCTTTGGGGAGAAAAAGGAAAAAATTTAAAAAAAAAATCTTTAAAAAAAAAAGAACATCATAGATATAAATGTTAAAAAAACCTAAAATCATATACATGTGAATATAAGTGTGTATCCGCGTGATGTACACATAAGTACTCAAAAGAATTAAAAATAGCCTAGAAGGATTCACAAAAACTCTTAGTGACTGTGGGGGTGGAGAGGTTGAGAATAGTAATTAAAGAAGACTTCAGTTTATTTGTAGTAACCTGATTTTTTTAACATGACGTTTATGTACCAGTCTTTCTCTTTTCTTTTTCTTTTTTAAGAGTGCACATAGAAAATGATGAATGCAAATATGCCAAAATATTAGAAGTAGTTTCTCTTGTGTTGGAAATATGCCTGATTATTATTTTCCTCTTTATATTTTTTTCCTTTCCCAATTTGCCAAAATAAAAAGTAAACTAAAAGGCAAGTTTTAGAAATTACAGTTATGAACTCATTTATGTCTTAAACAAAATAAAAATAAAGCCCAGTTTGCACATGCACAGAAAGTTCTGAAGCCTTGCCACCAAAGTGTTTGCAGCTGTTATCTCCTCTGTTTACTCATGTTCCCTGAATTATTACACATTACTTGTACAACCAGCAAAGTGATCAATAATTCTGCTAAAAAACCAAAGCAACTGAGAATCAGCTCCCAGGACTGAAGAGCTCAGCACCAACCAGAAGGGGTACACATCCCTGAAATAGACTTGGATGCAAATGGTGGCTACAGTTCAAGCAACTGCAAAAGGGAAGAGAAACCCAGGTGACCTTAGTTCTGATTTAGCCACTGAGTCAGCAAGCAAATCAGAGACGCCTAGATGAACAAAGAGAACAAGGTATGAAAAAACTGGCAAGTGAGGCAGAGAACGAAAAGAGCAAAACGCTGCCTATACAGAGTTCATCGACCTCCCTGCCTTCCAGGGATGCTGGGATCTGGGGCCTACGTGAAAGAATGTGTCTGGGCTTGGAGCCGGAGATAGCCACTTCGGCCCTAACCCCAAGGCACAAGTTGCTAAGACAATGTCCTGCGTCACGTTCCTTGTCTGGGCTGGCCACCCCGATGGGCACCTGACCGGACTACAGAAACATCCCATCCTTGGGAACAAAAAGATAAAAAACATCCCATCCATGGGAACAAGAAGAAATAACTCAAAGTATCTAAATGTCTGAAGCCCAGAGTTAGAACCTAGATAATCTCAAAATAAAAGGGAGTCACAGGCATAGAACATTTGGAAGTCTCACTGAGGAGACAACCCTCTGCCCCAGACCTGAACAATCGGCACCCCCGCCCGACATGAAACTTTTGGGACTTCCCTGGCTGACTGCGGTGTGGATGTTGTAAGTACCGATTGTAGCTCTCTGCTTTTCTTTTTCCCCACTTTATTTCCTGCTCTTTGTTCTGTTCCCCCCATCAATAAACTCTGATTTGCAGAGAACACGCAAAAGAAAGTAGACAGAGGATATTAAAACAAAACAAAAGTCTACAAAGAGGTGTGAGATGGACAAGCAGGTCTTGGCATTTGTTGCAAAGTGGCCCATGACTCCACACACCGAGTCACAGACGATGGTCATCTTCCCCTGAAACCGAGGCACCCTCCAACTCCCACCATGTAAGCAAATTTAAAGAAATCACTACCTTCACCCAGAAGCCATCATCTCCTACATTCGCTACAAACATCCGGACTCAGCAAGTGCTGCTGGGACTAACAAAAACGAGAGGACCGTACACTGAGACGGGAAGAAGGAAGCACGCCATCACCCAGCTAAAAGGGAGAAACTACAGCCCTGCTCCAAGGCACGGAGAGTCAAGTGAAGAACTACATTAGGGATCACGCATGTGAGGAGGCTGCCCTAGTTCGGGCAGACAAAGGAAGCCATGCTGTGAAAACAGGGGGACAGGTAAGAAGAAACATTCAGAGAAAACAAAAGCAAAGGAAAACGAGAGAAGTGATAAAGCAAATCACTGAAGGCCTAGGAAAAGAGACTTAGAGACACAACGACAAAAGACGCCTGAAGAGGAAAGGGTGCTTCAGGAGCAGGAGGGGCGGGCTCCAGCCCTGCTGAGCTCCAGCAGCTCAAACCGGAAGAAGGAAACTGCTCAGGACGAAGCAGAAAGTCAGCGAGGGAGACAGCCTTTCACAGACAAACCCGCAGAATGGATGGGAGACAGAAGGAAAACTGAAGTATGAAAAGAACTGGAAAACCGCTCAGGGTGAGGAGAAATCTGGCAGGGAGCCTAAAGAGAATGAACTGGAGGCCAGGGAGAAATATTTCAAAGAAATGCACCCAGTGGGGAAGATAAACAGCATCGACCTATCTCAGGAAATTGAGACCCACAGTGAAATGAGCACCAGAAAGCAGCCTCCAAGCTGGCCTGTTCTGAAGCAGCTGCTGCAGAAACATCCAGGGGCCACTGAGCCATTTGTAAAGAGGTGGTGAGAAGACCGACAGGCAGGAAAACGAGGGCGACAGCCTGTGAGCACACCCATAGACGCCAGGCCTTCCATCAAAGAAAGGGTGAGCCCAGCCTCTGCGACCATGAACATGGACAAAGCTGAAGACCTCCTGGGCCTTCAGGCTCTGAGTGAAAGACCCAGAGCAAAGGAAAGTGATGGGGGCCAGAGAGCTGAAAGCACCCCACTGCATCAGGTATCCAGGTGCCTCAGGTTCCTCCCAAGCCCAGCCAGCTTTTGAGGACTGAAGAAAAGCTCCATCCATCAACTTGTTAAGATGATATCATAAACGTTGAGGCCCCAGGTCTGGGGAGCAACCTGAGCTGAATCAGGCCTCTTCTCCAGAGCTTCCTCCACACCCCAACCCAGGTCATTCCCACAATGAGAACGGCTTTGAAAAGACAACGAAAGTCCCAAGCAATCACCTGGGCATTTTTCAGGGACATTTTCTTCTTTTTGTCATTTTGCTCCTTCATCACACGTGCAATGTAATTTTGTTTGTTTTCCTTTTTAAATCCTCATTAAGTTGTCTCTTATTCTCCTGTTTTCCCTACCAGTGTCAGGGCCATAAGTTTTATTCTATACACTGATAATAAGCAAACAAGTTTCTAAGACTATTGTCACTAAACAAAGACTGCTTCAAGCGCATTTTTAAATGTTAACATAACATTTACACCAATAGATCAATTAATAAGCTCAAACCTAGTACCCAAAACTTCATTTCTAAATACCATTCTCAATCGAAAGGAACCAGGGTTCCTTGAAGAAATGGTTGATTCCAGCTCTGGGGGAGGAAAAGTAAAAGATGAGTATTTCATGGTGCCTGAAATTCAGGGAAAGACACAAAAAGATGGGGGCATGTCGAGAGGAAACAGGAGCCAACTTAAAAGAGCTCCCAATGGCCAAAGCTACAACAATTTAAGCAACAAAATAAATAATAATAGCACTACATTATAGCCCAAAGAATAACCACCCAACATCACACCCTGATATCACTAACTGAATAAACAAACAAAAGGGGGAGAAGGCACAACTCTGCCTCACAAAGAACTCCAGTTAATAAATGTAGAAGGAACGACAAAATGAAAGGCACCATTAGAACCTCACAGTAATAAGTGCTGCAAGCAAGAGGCACCGAGGAATGCCAACTAGTGGGTGACACTTAAGGAGAACCAGGCTATTTCTAGGCAAAATCTCCAAGTACCTTCCCCCAAATGATAACTAATCACAAAGGCAAAGACGGTAACTTGACAGTGGTGGAAAGTGCCAGACACCACTGGACCAAGATGACTGTGCCAGTAACAAGACATATCGACCTCATCCTCAATCTAAGCAGACATCTGACAAAACCAAACTGAGGGTCATTCGACAAATACAAATACAAAATACTGCCAAAGGGTCAAGGTCACGTAAAACAAGGAAAGACCGAAGAACTGTCACAGGTTGAAGGAGAATAAGGAGACACGACAACCCAATGGAATGAGGGATTCTAGACTGGATCCTGGAACAGAAAAAGGACATTAGCAAGACACTGACGAAGTCTGCATAAAGTCAGCAGTTGAACTCGCAGTACTGTACCACTGTAAACTTCTTAACTTTGAGGATTGTACTGTGGTTATGCAAGACAGGGACTTCAGGCAAACTGGGTAAACAGTTAAGGGAACTCTGTACACTTCTGCAACCCTCTGCGAGTCTACAATGACTCACAATAAAAAGGTTCTTAAATCGAAAAAGTGTGTTACCTTGTAAAATTTATTTCTATCTTAGATATTAAGGATTAACGTGGCCATCAAGGATATTAAATACTGTCAATTCTTACCTCCAATTTGGATTCATCCTTTAATTTAACAGATATTTACTGAGCACCTACTACGTCCTAGGCACTGAGGTCTCAGAGGCGAATAAAGCAGACAAAAAGCACTGCCTTGAGGAGCTTACGGAAAGACACACACGAAATAAAATACATGGTATGTTAGACAGAGACAGGTGCCATGCAGTATAAGAAAACAAGGAGGACGGTGATCAGGGAAGGAAAAGTACAAGCCCAAAAATTCAGTCTTGTAGAGCACACAAGGGTTCACCTGAGGGAGCTCTTTCACAGTGTTTCTGATATAAAAATACTGAAGATTGCAAAATAATTTGTTATGTTTTATGGTTAATATATTTTTAGTCTCAAGTAACTCTCTGACATCATAGAATGCTTATGTGCTAATACTTACGGATATCAGGAGCCACAGAAAACTGTATGGTGGCATAGCTACTATTTTTTATACTTTGTCAGTTTCCCTCCTAAGTACATACTGAGGTTTATCTTCAAAACATTCACATTTCTTTCAGCTACAGTAAGGATTAGTTTTTTAACCAAAATCTGTCTGCCTTTCTTCAGCATTAACATAACACATAAGAGCAGCCTCATCCATCAGTCCTTGAATACGCACACAGATATACATGTATATAACCGACAGAAGTTTCCTGATATCCTCAGTCAAAATATGGCTAGAAACATTCCCTGACAATTCCTTGCACAGTAAACGATCTAGTATTAGTGAGTTTTCAGTTTTGAACTGCAAACAGTTTGAAACAGGATGGTGGTCTTTCCTGGCCACCACTTTCTATTTTCTTAGACTAATGTTAAGTGAGGAGTGGTTTTAGGCAATACCTGTACCTTCTATTTTAAAACTGCATTTTACAAACTACTCTTTCATTTTGAAAATAAACACCCTACCAAACAAGATTCTGCTTTTTTGGTAAAAGTATCACTTGTTGAGAATTTAGAGCTTCATATAATGTATACTATGGGAAATAAACTGCAAACGAAATGTTTTCTTTTAATCATACTTGCAAAAATATGTCTTGGTGGTGTCATAATGCTAGCACTAATTTTAACCAATATATGAACAAATAACATTCCGCAAGCTGAAGATATAACTTTCAAAAGCAATAGTATGAATGTACTTAAGGTCACTGAATTAAACATTTTAAAATGGCTAAAATGATAAATTTTACGTATCATATGGTAAATGTTATGTGTATTTTATCACAATACTAAAGTTTTTTAAAAGCGATAGTATACAAATATGGAATCATTATGTTGCACACCTGAAACTGTTATGTCAATTATACCTCAATTTAAAAAATTTAAAAACATATGGATTATATATTAAAAAGGTAAAAACACGATCCCATTCCGTAATAAACATATATATATATATATATATATATATATATATATACACACACACACATGTATGCGAGCTTGCATACTTATACACAAATTAGAAAATGTCAGGAAGCCTCCAGGAGAACACACTTGCGGACTGCGGTTACTTTTACTTTCCTTACTCTCCCCGCGTCATCTAATGGGCCGTAATGAGCGAGCTTTGTTTGCATAATCGGGAGAAGCGATAACGCACAGAAATCCCTCCCTCCGCGCCCCGGGCCCCCGGGCGCCGAAGCTCCTCCAGCTGAGCCCTCAGCACGGCGGGGACCGGATCCCCGGCCAGACCACCGCCCCGGCCGCGGCCTCCAGCCCGGGCCCCACCGCCCCCCGCCGGCCACAGCCGAGCACCCCACCGCGCCCCGGGAACCCCGCGGGCGCACAGCAGCCCCCGCCGCCCCGCCCCGCCTGCGCCACCCGGCCGCTCACCGACTCCCGGGGCCGCCCGAGACTCCGCCTGCCCGCCGCACCGCACGCCCCGCGCCCGGCTCCCGCTGGCCCGTCGCGCACGCGCGCCGCCGCCCCGGGCCTCGGCGGCCTCTCTAGGAAACTGGGAGGGCCACCGTCTCGGCTTCTCCCGGCCCAGGGTCGCGCTGGCCGGCCTCCGAGCCCAGCCGAGGGGGTCGTCCCCAAGCCCGCCGCCTGCCCTGTGGACGTCTGTCCTCCGTTCTCCGAGGCCCATTCGAGCCCCAGAGCTCTATCAGTCTTGGCGTTTTCCCACATCCCTGTTGATGTGTGTGCAGGGCTGCCCTCCCTCCAGGCGAGAAAAGGATCCAAAGCTCGGGGTCAAAATAGGGACCAGCAAGATCTAACTGACCGGTTCTGGTTGGCAGAGCTGTTAAAGGGCCACTCATTACTCCCTGGGGCCTCCTTCAAGTTGGGAAACCAGATCCTAAGGGAGGCTAGCTTCCAGGACAACCTCTTCCCGCATCACCGCCACAACCGGGGGTACATGCTCATTCCCAGCCACAGCCGCAGAAACATTACCTTCCCACAGCCTCCAGAGTAAATTTTAAAGATCTTCTTGGCTCTCATGCAGCAATTCATGAATTGTGCAGCATCCAATCTAGCAGATAGGAGTTCTGAAGAGCTGTATACAAGGCAAGAGATTTCATAGGCAGAAGGGAGTGTGACCAGGGAATCAGGCAAAGAAAGGGCTACTGCTGTCTGTCAAGTGTTTTTCACACAAGAAGAAGCTGTGTTCTGTTTTGCAGAAACTAATGCCCCCATTTTGCAGATGTTGCTATTTGGCAGAGATACATGTTTGCAGCAAGACCCCAGCAAAATGTTCCGGCACCAAGCGTCCTAAAGTTACCTTAAACTCATTAGCATCTTAAATTGTCTTCCTCTGGGAGGGTCTGAGCAGCCATTTTCAGATTGTGAGATATATGTTATCAGGTGTTTGCCTGCTACACATGCACCCCAAATGAACACTGTTGTTTTACAGATAAACCTGTTATCCTGTGCTCTCTTGTGTATCAAGTGTCCACCAGCTCTGGGAAACACCACCCTGGGAGCTATCCCTGGTGTTCTCCATTGCTTATGCAAGCAATAAAACTTTTCTTCACCTACTTTTGCCTTGGTTGTACTTTTCAGCTCTGCACTCATCAAGAGATAAACTCATTGAGTTTGGTTAAAGGAGCAGGAAGAAGAAAGTTATACTAGGGGAAAAAGTGGATTGGTTATCGCAAGGTTATTTTCCTTATAAAGGATGGCAGGGGTTTATCAGGCAGATTACCTAACTAATGCTGATCAAGAAATTCTTTTTTTTTTTTTTAAATTTGTGCCCATCTTCCTCTACTTTATATGTGGGACGCCTGCCACAGCATTGCTTAACAAGTAGTGCATAGGTCCATACCCGAGATCCCAACCGATGAACCCCGGGCTGCCGAAGCAGAATGTGTAAACTTGACTGCTGCACCACAGGGCCGGCCCCCAAGGAAATTCTTGATTGACTTGTTAAAGACAAAAAAACAGGCCTAAAATTGAGTCACTCAGGCTAAGCCCCACATAACCAAACCAAAACTTAACTTACTTATAATTTTGGCTCTCCTAGAAATAGAATCTTAAACCAGTCAATCAGGATTCACTTGATCAATATTAGTTAGTAATTTGCCTGATAAACCCCTGCCATCCCTGATAAAGTAACCTTGCAATAAGCAATCCACCTTTTTACCTAGTATAACTTCCTTGTTTCTTTTCCTTCCGCTATAAAGTCTCTTGCTTTGTACAGCTCTTCAGAGCTCCTTTCTATCTGCTAGATTGGATGCTGCCTGATTTATGAATAACTAAATAAAGCCTATAAGATCTTTAATATCTGAATTTTGTTCTGTAACAGACTAGTTTCAGATTCCATTTCCAGGAAAGCTGAAACTGTAACTAAGTTAAGCTTGGTTTGGTGACATGGGGCTTGGTATAAGTGACTCCATTTGAGCCTGTTGTCTTATCTTTAGCAATCTCCCCCTTTCGATCAGACTCTCAGCCTGAGATATGTGGTCAAAATTTAAGGCATTAGGACTACTCCCAGCTACCACTCTGGAGTTCTCGCAATTTTTGCTGAATCTCTGTGTTAATCACAGGCCACAATGTCAAGTTCACATTCCTTAAGTTGGTCGTTCTCTTCATTACTTTTCTGACATTCTAATCTTAGATCATTTGCTTGGTAGTTAGCAGCCGCAAATGTGCATTTAAAGCTTTTGAAGGAATACAGCACAGCAGGAAGACTACTATGATTATTATGAACAGGATAATTCCCAATGTCTGGAGTGCTCTTCGGAGCCATGGTCCCCAAGACCCAAAACAATCAGAATCAAACAAGTCAAAGAAAGATCCTACTGAAAGAATCACTTTCCTAGGCCAAGTAGCTTGTTCAGTGATCTTGTGTAGCTGAGTCTCAACTTTCCTTGAAGTGTAAGTATAACAAGTTGTGTTGGCCACAGCACAGACACCTCCTTGCTCAGCTAAAAGATATCAAGGGCTATCATACTATCAAGAACAACTTTGGGACCTCAACACCCCCACTAACACTACGGGATAGATCATCCAGATAGAAAGTCAACAAGGAAATTGTAGAATTAAATGAAAAACTAGACCAGATGGACTTAATAGATATAGAGAGAGAGAGAACACTCCATCCGAAAACAGCAGGTTACACATTCCTCTCAAGTACACATGGAACGTTCTCAAGGATAGAGCATATACTGGGAAACAAACAACAGCTGTGGCCAGAGAGTTTAAGAGTTTTTGTTGGGAAGTCATTGCTTTAGCAGTCAATTCTGTGATATCTTCAAGAGTTAAGGGAAGGTTCCTAATCATAGCCTCATTTGCATTTACTCCTAGCCAGAGGAGTAGCGATCTGCCAAAAGAAGTGAATTTTGAATCATGAATGCCTCCTGGTAATTTCGTTTGGTTTGATAATGCAAATTGAGCGCAGCTGACCAGTGAGATGTCTCAATTTGATTGCAGGCAGTTAGGGGTACAGTTAGATAACCCAAAGGGCACCATCAGGTTAAATGCCAGCCATCTAGGGATTCATGAGTGCAAGAAGTATGCTTTTCCTTAAAACCACCACAGACAAAAATAAACCCTGCTGGGGCACACCTACTCCCAATAAAATATTGTTATTAACGGATTCGTTCACTGAGATTTTTTCACTTGCTCAGTTAAGCCATGGATCGGTTAGGTTTTGATCATGCTCAGGAAGGTCATTTCCTATTCTAAAATAAAAGGTAATTCTAAACTCTTTGCAGAGAAGGGTGCTTGTGGGAAAATGTGCAGCTCCAGGCCAGGGGCAGTTTGTGTTTAGATAATCATAAAATCATGGTAGTGAGAACATATTGATGTTTTTAAAGGTATCCCTGTCTGTCTGAGTTCGTACAGTTATTGTAACTAGGGAGCCAGGCAAAGAAAAGCGTACTAAGGACCTGATCAAAACTAACACTATCTGTTGAGTGTTTTGCAGAGAGAAAGTTTCAGGAAGAGCCTAACCACAGAAGGTTCCCACAAGCAAGCTAACTGAAGCCGGTTCTGGCCGCCTCACACTGCTCCAGAATGAACTAAAGTAAACTGTCCTCATTATAATCTCCTCGAAATATTAAACTCTCCACTCAGGGCAAGACTTATCTGCTGTTTTCTAACCATGTAATGTCTGAAGACACACGATCAATGATTGTACTTGTGCTGGAATTCCCTCCCCTGTACATGATGACAAGGGCATCCATAACTATTATTCACAAATGCTCCCCATGAAAAGAAGCCCTAAGCTGTGCTCTGGGAGATACTGCTTTGGGAGTTATCCCTGGTGATCTCCATTGCTTGTGCAAGTAATAAGCCTTTCTTCACTTACCTCATCTTGATTGTGCTTTTTGGGTCTGCACTCACTGAGAGACGAAAGCATTGTGTTCAGTTACATTATGACAGGAGAAATGTTAGAGCCAAATGTTCTGGCTGTAAAAGTTGGACTCTGTAAGTGACTTCTAAGGCGGGGGGTGGGGGGTTGATTATGGTTTACATTGACCTTGGGAGTGGAAGAAAACTTGGTCACAGGGAGGACCAGGGGGTCTCTGGCATCATGGATAGATCAGGGGTTTTGATGACAAATCCAACAGTTTGAAAGGCTATCTCCCTTAGCAATGGCCTGGGAGATATGGAGAATGGCATTATGTTTCCAGGCCAATGCCAAAGTGAAAGAAAGAAAGTGTTTCATGTTTGAGGTTAAAGTATGAAGTCTTGATTGGCATCTTGAGTGGAAGCTGTCTACCACATGAAGTCATCAGCTTCCTGGTCA